TTGGATAAATATTTATATGATTTAGGTTGAAACTTGAATTAAATAAATAGTTAGATTGAATAAAATAATTTTTTTTTTAATATTTTAAAAAATTTGTCCGGTCCCCTAGCTAATATACTAGTATATATATAAACAAGTACCAATATCTTATCCTATCCCATCATTATGCATGACGCTGTACTTACTAATCATGCCCGACCATTTGGAGTGTCTTATTTTACAATATAAAGAGTGATTGATATAAGATTAGGACCGTATAATTGTCCCTAGTGATTGATATAAGATTAGGACCGTATAGTTTCTTGTCCTTTTGAACTGACGATCTATACACTATCATTCACTGCAATGATTAATGAATTCCATTTGGAAATAAGTAAATAAATTATTATCTGCTGTAACTCACATAGAGTAATTTTAAAATTGAGTCCGAATTTTACCAAATGAAGAGATTGTTTATTTTTTTATTTTAAAAATATTTTATTTTTTAAATTGATTTTATGATTTTTTTCCAATCGTTTTTAATGTACTAATATAAAAAATAAATTTTAAAAAATATAAAATTATTTTAATAAAAAATATTTGAAAAATCAACTACTAATCTTATATCAAACTCGAGCTCAAAAACCCTTTTAACACAATCAAGGGATGTTATCGGCGCCGGAAAAAAACCAACTAGTCTGTATCCGAGGCTAACAATAAAAAGGGGTATTAATGCCTTAACTTCACAGTTTGGTTTCGTTGTATTTCGGCTATATATATATATATATATCGACGATGACCCTGAACAATGACATCTCCAGGGCCAGCACGGTTTCAGTTATTATTTTATCTTTTCTTCTCCATTTTTTTTAATTATCTTTTTCACTTACAGCCTGCCGTCCTTAATATTGTTGAACAGGTAAAGCAGCTCTTCAGGTGAAGGTTGTCAAAAATTTTACATGACATCGAAAACATAATGTAAATTTGGATTATAAAATAGTGCAATTACAACTTTTTTAACTTATTACACATTAATACTTATAGCCAAACAATAAATAACAATATAACTTGATTAAAATAAAAGTAAAATAAATAATAAAATAATTTAAATACCATAAAATACATAAAAAAATTAAAAATAAGAGGGTAATTGATTGATCAATTTTTAGAAAACCCAAAACCGAAAAACTAATTATTCATATAAAATCAAAAAAACCATTCATCTTATCTTTTCTATAAACTCAGTTTTATTTTATTGATTTTGAAAGAGTTAAATCTAATTTTATTAATTTTTAAGTTTTTAGTTTGATTTTATAGATCAATTTGTGATTTTAATAATAATATTATGTGTTATCCTAACAAATAATATATGAGAGTGTAGTCAGGGTGGAGACAGGAGGGCTGGCAGGGCTTTGCCTCTACAAAGAGTTTTTTTTTTAATTTTTTTAATAATATTTATATTTTTAATTTAAATAATAAAATAACTAATATTTTAACCCTTTTATTTTTATTTTTTGGTTCCGCCCGAGTGTATAGTAATAATTAAGATTTGTGAGAGGTTCATTTCTGTGTTTACGTTAAAGTTATTAGGCATGTATTGGCAAAACATAAGCCAGAAGCACGTCGCTTTGGAGTTTAGCAACATGTAGAGCATGATAGTGAAAGTACTAATCCTACAGAACTTTTCTTCTTCTTAAGATACAAAGAAACATTTGCACTTCATCATTTAGCTGCATTTGCAGAACTTAACAGCTCCAAATAACAGTTGATCAATCCCACCTATATTTTTTGTTTCATATATATATATATATATATTATTTATACATTTTCTTGGAGTCCAACAGTACTCTACATGTAATTGTCTAATAAGCTTCCACGTGGAGCGATGGTTTCGAGTCTTCCTGTCTCTTTATTAGGGGGCTCAAGCAGGTTTTATGTTGTTCATTAGAGACGTCATGCCATTATTCAAAAGTTAGAGTAACAAGGAAAAATAAAGAAAAGAAGAACGCGTAATTTAAATCAGGAGGCTGATCCGTCACTAAAGTAGGAGTGGAAAACAATGATAAAGTAGTAAAAAACTCGAGAGAAGGCTGTGATGGCTGCATAATTGTCTCATTAAAAGAGAATCAACCCATATTCTATGCCTGACTGATTTTTAAGAAATATAAGCTTTTGCGGGGCACCGTAGGCATCAGCGGGGGAGTTTTCTATGGCGCTAAGAGAGTGACTTTATCGCTAAAATACTTGCAAATTGGAAGATTTTAATTATAGACTGGAGATCAGACGGGAAGGTTGTTGATAGGGTTGTCTTCTTTCCTTCGCACGATGATTTTGTTTTTTTATCTTCAAAGTTTAGGGCATACTGCTGATTGCATGATAATTTGGTTTAACGGTTATTTTCTTAGTTCAAATCCAAAAAAGTTGCTGTTAGAGGAAATGCTGGTCAATTTAACTTGTTAGGCCAATTATTGAAGGAGTGTACAGGGTCATAAGCTAAAAAATAGTTGCTCAAAAGGGGAAAAAACAAACAAGAAAATATAAAAAAAGAAGCACACGATGTAATCAAAACCACAGAAAATCGTATAGGAACGCCGATTGCAAGTTAATCTTGCGGTCATTAGCTCAATTAAATTTGCAGAAGGAGCTAATGATCAGCAACTGAATTAGCATGTCATGATCATCTAAATTTAGGTTTGTATTTCCTTGTGATTAATAACAGTAGTAATGATTGTTATAAGTTTAATTTTATTGATTTAAAATAATTAATTAAGGCCCGAGGAACTAGATTTGATAACGATAATAATTATACATATTAAGGTTGCAATGACAAAAAGGCTGGCGCGTTCATTCATAGGCCAAACTAGATTTTTATTTATGTGCTAAATTTGTTTTTTTGTTTTTGTACTAAAACTAGCCAAAATGATTTTTATATATATATATATATATATATTTGAAATTTAGGCTAAACTTTCTGAGGTTTAATAAACTTGTTATTAAATTCTTGATCCATGCAAAATATAAAAACTGTTTTTTTTTAAATTCTTAAAAAAATGTAAAATCATGTAAAATAATTTTTTTCATTCATATTTTTTTATATAAAAATGCAAATATAATTTTTTTTTTAGAAACTTGGATACGTGTTGTTTAAATCATAATTGTATATTTGTTTTTTAAATAAGGATTTTTTTTGTTGTTTTTATATTTAGTTTTTTACAAGGATTTGGTTTTTTAATACAAGAAATGCTTTGGGTATAAATTTATAATTTTAAATATTAAATATGAAAGTTTAAAAAATAACATGGGGAGCCCAAAATTATTGCATTATGGTTCAAAACTTGAAAAATAATTAGAATTAAACTATGGCATGTCGGGGAAAACACAAAAAAAGAAAAAAGAAAATAGAGGTTGTGAAAAATAGGTTAGGATGTGTTTGCTAAATATACCTTTAGTTCAAAAAACACATACTTGAAATTTGTCAAATATATCCTTAGCTAAAAATATATTTTTCTTCAATAAATTTTATTCTTGCCAAACATGTCTCAAACCTTAAAAGGTTTTGCCCAGCCACATGGATGGATTGGGCTTTACAGCCAACAAGACCCATGCTAAGACATAAACTGAAACCAAATTAAATACGCAAATCTTTAATATCAGCCCAAACTTCCTATTTTAAACCAAATAGGCCCGATCCATAAACAAATACTAAATGGCTTCTTTTGTTTTTGGAAGATCGAAATGAAGAAACAAAGAACTTGCCTCCAGACCCGATATAGCCACACACACACGCACGCCATCATCTTAGCACGAGTAAAAGCAGAAACTAAGAATATCCACCATCTACACCATGACTCCTTTTCTCATAAGCATGCTAGTCTAAGGAAAAAAAAAGCAAACTAGACGCCATACCATCTTAGCACGAGTAAAAGTCTTAGAATTTGACTAATGAAATATGACATTGAACTTAAATTAATTACTTTATCAGTCTTGAAATAATAACACCTCTAAAGGTTCATAAAGTTGAACAAGTACTTTATATCGATCCCACTATATTAATGTCAAATAGAAATTCAAAATCATCAATCTAAATCCGCTCATCGTGTACATATAGTATCAAGAAAGGGAAACAAGATATACATGCAGTGCCCTTGCTGTTATGGTTTTGCAAGTTGCTGGTGTGTGTCAAGCACCAAACTTAGACTTGGTTTCGGTTGATATCATCAACCAATACTTGTTAGTTTTTCCTTTTGGTTTTAACGGTCAAAATGCCCCCCTGCAAATTATTGTGTACCGAAATGAGATCCCTTTTCAATCATCCACTCTGTTTCAGAAAATGTCTTTCTCGCAGTTAATTGGATCGATATTTATCTTACAATCAACACTGAAATTATAACCCTGGGATCTTGCTACAAAGAGACAACGATAATGGGGTCACTATATATATATATGTCAAAAAGAAGGTATATATATGTGTGTGTGTGTGTGTCAAAAAGAAAGTGCCCTTCTTGGTCTAAGGTAAATACAGGGAACTTAAAAGGTAATTAGTGTGATTTACCTAATGTTTGAGATAAAACATCGATGTGGAATTTTTAAGACATGTATGGAGCAACTGTGTTGCCCCATTTCTTTATGTGCAATTGGTATGGCTGGCTCACTTAGATCACGTGTACCCAATGAAGGAAATCAGACTTCCTAGGTGATTTCCATCGGAGCATTCGTAATGATATGAAGATAATGACTTACAAAAAGAAAATCATTAACGTAATAGGCATGAAAACACTTAGCATGAGATATATAAAAACAAACCAATCTCCTCAATCATAGAGTATGACCATCATCCACAAGACAGGGATAAATGATCCATATGAAATCTCCATCATAACATGCATGCCATAAAAGTTTTTATGCGTGTGCCATTCTGAATCGTCTGTGCATACAAAGAAGAGATATAAAAAGCTTTTCTTTCTCCAGATTCATCACTGGGCCGTTTTAGCTCACCCTAGAAGGATAATTAGTTTTTCTTTCTCCAGATTCATCACTGGGCCATTTTAGCTCACCCTAGAAGGATAATCAACATATTAATTAATGCAGTGCTCACCCTTTATTCATCAAATCTTTTGTCTGAACCAGGCAGGCAAAACAAAGGGAGTCGATTGCACCTAAAGACTTAGCGGCACAGTCAGAATGTGATCTTTCTCCTGCGAAGTGAAACAGTGCCTTTTGCCACTATCCATGTCAACAATAAAAGCCGAATTTGCATCACAAAACCGTTTTAAATCATTGCAAAGTTCTTGGTTAGTGATAGTTTAGCACATGCTGAGTTATTGACATCGCTATCTTTCAAAAGATCAGACAAGTAGAAAAAAGGCTTGCGTATTACTAGTCTCTATGGAGCAAGAATTCAAGAAATAAAAGAATCACATCATAAATTTGCAGTTAAGGAAGTAGAGATAATTCAACTCAATTAATCAACCCTGCATCTTTATTCAAATGAAAATTCTACATCGGATCCAAAGAAAGCAAAAAATAGGAACCTGAAAAAAGAAATATGATAAATCTCACCTTGCCAAGTAGATTCAGATGAGTTGTAGACAGTTAGACATTCTGACTACCATTAAATGGTCCTCCCTTTTGGTTTAGAGAAACATGGATGGCCCTGGCTGCTGCTACAGCTGAGTCTCCTCTCCTAACAATTTTCTCCAGCCCTTCAACTTTCTCAGACAGCAACCCAACATTCGAGTTAGTCGATTGAACCAATTTGTTTGCAGTTTCTAGGGAAGTGCATAACTGAAATAATAGCCAGAAAAACCAAAAAAGAAAAAAGAAAAAAGAAAATCTTATTTTAATCCTGTAATATTTATTGGTATCAAACCATTCCAATTCTATTAAATAATAAACTGCGCTAGAAAATCATTCAAAATATATCCATAATTAATATACGATCAGCTTTCGAACCTTTAGAGTTAGTGCAGTCCATGAGTGATCAGTTCCGTCAAGTGCTTGATTCAAGCGGTCATACTCTTCCTGTACAAAAAAATAAAAATAAAAATATTGATAAATTAATTTTTACGTAACCCTAGCATCCGTGTTATGTGTATGGGAATTGAAGAGAGAGAAGAACCTGGAAGAGTTTGGTGAGGTCTAAGGATTGAAGGCTGTTATTTTTGGAATCAGAAACTGATAATGGAGGAGACAACCGATCAGCTGCGGCTGCGGCTGCTGCGGAGACAACATGGAGGAGACAACCGATCAGCTGCGGCTGCTGCTGCTGCGGAGACAACATCTTCTTCTTCTTCCTCCTTTTCTGCAAGATCGCTTAATAAATCTCCTATGCATAGCAGTGGCCCTCCTACTCCTTTCATCTCTCCGATCTAGCGCTCTCTCTCTCTCTCTCTCTCTCTGTGGATTTCTTTTCTTGCCCTCCTACTCCTTTCATCTCTCCGATCCAACGCTCTCTCTCTCTCTCTGGATTTCTCTCCTTTTCTTTTCTTTTTCATCCCCTGAGTTTTTCGGTTTTATACATTTTACCTCATAAGAATCACTCTGTTTCAACTTTACCCACAGATTTTACTTATTTCGAAAAACCGGGTAATATGTGAGCCGGGTAATTGAAGCGGGTGGACCGGTTATCACTTAAACCACGGAGACGAGTGCAGCACATACTTGATACTGCACAGAAAGAAGCAGGGCCCTCTAACCCTATTTTCTCACAGATTCATCATCTTCTGGAACGGTGAAAATCTTATCAGGTAGTTTTGGAATCATTTTTTTATTTTTAGGGGTATCTTTTAATTTTTAACAAATTTATTTTCTTCTCTTTTATGTCTTTATTGGAATTTGATAGCTTGTAGGGTTTATCACATCACCCCCATGATTTCTTCATTTTAATCAAATCAATTTTCTCAACAGAGGGAAGAAAAATGGCAGCAGGGCAAGAGAATGTTAAGCACCTTGAGGAGTGCTCGGTTGCCAAGTTAGTTTCATCTTCATTTTTACTTCCGATTTGTCAATGTTTCTTTTATCGTTGCTTTGATGAAATTGAAGACTTGAAAAGATTTTGATTTTCTGGGCTGATCGCTTTCGTTTCAGTTAGTTGAAAGTTTCCCTTAAGTTAGTGAGTTATACTTTCATGTGACTGCTGCTAATTAGAGGAGTTTGCGGATGTGCATTTCCTTTTGATTTAGGCACAGATTGATCTTTATTAGAAGGGAGAAAACTGAAGATTGGACATTTGTTTGTCACACTGCTATCCTAGCCATATCTAGTATTGTACTCATGAACAGATTTGTGTCTGGTTTCTGATTTGGTCTTGGTCTTGGTCTTTGACTTCGATTGAGAACACCAAGTTTTATGTCTTAGTGTCTGGTTTCTGATTTGGTCTTGGTCTTTGACTTCGATTGAGAGCACCAAGTTTTATGTCTTTGTTTCATTCTAGAAGGCCATGTCCCTCAAACAACACTTACACATGAAAAATATTTATGCAGATAATATGTGCGCGTAAATTTTCTTCTCCTTCTTTATTGATTTACCTGTTGTTCCGAACAAAACTATGATGATAACTACTGAATGATCTATATCTGCAGCGCACTAGGTACATGGGTTTTCTCAGTTGCAGGAGCTTTGCTTGCAATTCCAGTTGGGATAAAACGAAAATCATTTGGACCCCTTGTGTTCTTTGGTACAACAGGTACAATGCTTGATATTATAATGGGGATTACTCAATGTGAAAGAGAACACGCAGAACGCCAGGCAAAGCTACTAGAAGCCCAGAATTCTTCTGGGGATGCATCATTTACAGTAACAGGATCTGAGTCTTGATCTCGAGCTCACACAGTCGTGTACCTCATGGTTCAACTTGCTTGCCATCAGAACCTAATGCTCACACAGAAGGTGGATTGGCTTCTCCTTTTTGTTACTTTGCGGTGATTTTGTATTCTGCTTCTTACAGTCCTGTTTTTCACTTTAAAATAGTTGATAATGATGTAACTTCGTATTTTGATCAGCCAAGAAGACTTCATTTTTTATAAAAAGAAGGTTTTTCAAGAAGCTTTTTCATTGCTATAAAAAAGAATTCATTGAATAACAATAAGAAAAAAGAAAGAAATTCACAAATCAGGGTCAGAAGGAGAGGTCCAAATAGAGGCTGATAGTAAACGTCTAGATTTCCAACCAAGGACGAGCCTGTTGCTAGCCAATTCCTCCACCCTGTACCCATCATTAAAAACTCCCAGCAAAAGCTTTGCTTGACAATGATTTGCAAAGCTTACTTTAACTGGCTGAAACCCCCCCGCAGCCAACCACTCCCCCCATGGGCAAACCTCTTCTCCACGTGCCCTATAGATCCGAGCCAATGACCCGGCAATCCTGGGCCCCAAAATCACTCTTTCAACTAAAGCCCGAGCCCGACCCTGCATTGGAAAACCCGCCTCCATCGAATCATAAAAGGCAGAGTAGTGGTGCAATGAGTCCATGAACCGACCCACAAATCCTCCATCCCCAATGGGCCCCACCTCCTCCTCCACCATGGTTATTAATCTCGGATTCAATGTCTTGGCTCCGGATAAAAACGAAGCAACAGAATCGGGTGCCCGGTAACTAAAATGAGGAAGGTGTAACATACAATTCATGACCAATGGCTCCCCTTTAACTAACTTCAAAGCAGATGGTCTAAATGTTTCATCGGAGTCTAACCTGCACTGATGGAAAGAAAAGGGTTGACCGATTGATGCAGCAAAGGCCACTAAACGACGTCCCGTTTCTTGGACGGTCCCAATAGACCTCCGATTACTGCCACCCCTTGACATAGCTGTGATCCTAAGGTGTGGGGTCGGTGGGCCATCCTTCCTGGAAACTAAAGCTTGCATCAAAGAAGCCCATTGGATCCCTTCCATGATATCATAATCGACAATATGAATCTTCCTGTCATCAGCTACAGCTTCCAAAATTGCCTGATTGGCAGTGAAATGCCCAAACTTGACATAAGGCGACATGTCTTGCAATAGCTGAAAGGCTGCAAGAGCATCATTTTGATGGTGATGTTGTTGAGGATCGTCGCGATGGTGATGATGATAAGGCCCATTATTGGTTACCGAATGATGTTTACCACCAGTGCCTTCTAGTAAACCTTGCAAGGCATCAGTGAAATAAGCAGCTAATCTTTCCATGTTGGTTCCATCATTTGGGGACACCAACTCCTTGAGCCGAACCAATATCACCCGAGCCAGATCACTGTTCTTGTTTAGATCAGTAAGTGCCTCGGCCGCAGCTATCAATAGATGAACTAACCGCAAGCCCTTGAAATCGTTGCTGCAGCTTGTTTCTTCATCGACAAACACAGTGTCACTAGTGGACATGGAGTTGCTCGTGTCTGGTGTCAAGCGACTACTTTGATTCATTAATGCTCCATCATCCATCATGGAATCGATGAGGCCTTGAAAGTCATCGTGGGGGCCAGATAAGGCCTCCCAGTCGACCATTGGAGACCAGTCGTTCCAATTGCAGCCATGGCCATGGTCATTTTCGGTGGAAATGGTGGTGGCTGTGGTGGTTGTGCTGCTGTAGCCGGAAAAGTCGAGCTCAAATTGGGTTCCATCTATAGCCATGGCCATGGTTGAGCTGAACTAACGAGTTATTGTGTATCAACTATCTTGGGGTGTTAATTTTAAAAGGGGTTTTGGATAGGAGAAAGAGCTGAAACAAGAGACAGTGAGGGTTGTCTTTAAATCTTTCATTAAGATCATCGACCATGCCTGGGCTGTTGAATCTATGCTAGTTTGGTTTTTATATACACATTTCTGGGGTCTAATCAGACAGTTCTGTTCAATAATGAAAGTGGAACTTTGCACTGATGCCCTTGCATTATACGGTATTCATCCTTAATGGCTCGATGGATTTTCTTCTTCTTTTTTTTTACTTTGCAACAACACTAATTAATTGTTCCTACGGGGCACTCCTGAGTCCTGATTAGTTGCGTCTCGAAATATGAAATCATGACTTTCATACGAGTAGATTAACTAGGATTATTTATTTATTTTGACAACCTAGAATTTTTGTATCATTTCTTGGGCGAAAACTTTTGCTAGGCGCGAGGAAGAAAATAAAAAACATTTCTTTGAAGTTTACTTTTAGATGGTGACTAACAAATTTTTAATGGTATATCTTTCCTAGACAAAATATTGGATTAATAAAAAATTTTAAATAAATTTTTTTAAAAAAATAAATGTATTTAAGTGAAGATATGTTGTGTATAAAATTAGTCAGACTTGGCATGTTATGTCAAGCCTTATAATAACTAGTTACATGTGTTTGATAGTGTATCAAGCTTTGGGTATACTTGCGTTAGTTATATCTAAAAAATAATTAAGTTTAATACTATTAATTTTAAAATTTTTATATAAAATTATAAAAAAAATATTTTTCAACAAATATACTTAATTAAGCAACTATATAATTTACTAAGACCTTTAAATGTATTAAAGTTTTTTATGGCTAGCCATAACATCATATTTTAAGTAAATAAAATAAATAGAATACAGTTCATAAAAAAACTTATTAGTTATAAATACATCATAAAATTTTCAAAATAAAAGTTTATGACTTTTTATATTTTAAAATAAAAATATTTAGATTTTAAAGAATTAATTAATTTAAAACTCAAGAATAATGTTTTTGTTTCTAGAATTTAAGGGTTTTAAAAGTTTTTTAATATAATTTTTATAAAAATATTAACTTTAACACCAAATAATTTTTGAATTCTTTCGATTGAAACTGTTTTTGAAAATATTCAAAATTTCTATTATAAACTTGAAGTTTCTTAGATTCTTTTTTTTAAAAAATTCAATGACATGAACATATTGATTAACCATACATAAAATAATTTTTTATCTATATATTTTGTATTTTAATACATCGTGATAACAGATTTTTTTTTGCATGCACATTTAACCTTCGTAGGTGGGCTCTAGAGTTATTTTCTATATTATTATCATCTCTTTTTTTTCTTGCCTTTTAAAATGTTTTAAACTTCAATTTTGGACCAGTCTTATCTAGGCTAGAGAATAGATACGCCCAACCTTATTTTAAGTTGCTTGAGGCAACGATCTCTAATCGCATTCAAAACCAAGCAGCTTGTCCAAACAAATGGGACAGGCACTGGTGAAAACTAATCTCCTAATTTTGGCTGTCTTAACAAGTTGTTGTAAACTGTAAATGGACAGACGGTTAAAAGTGAGAGGAATGAAGAAAATCATGTAAGCATATTAATAATGGAACAGATGAGGAGTACGAGAGCAAAATATCTGCTCTGAGCGGCCTCCCCTTAAATGACAGGGACTGACCCGTATATTCTGAGCGTAGAAATCATCAAAATGAAAGCTCAGGTTTTAACCTCATATACATACACGTAATCCAGGCCCCAGAGTGGCAGTTACGATTCAGTTTGCCCTAAAGACACTTTGAGTTTGACTGGGCACTCTTCTGGGACGACGTCATCGTTTTGCCATGCCATTATTTGCCGGCTCAACCCGTCATGTTCATCACTCCCTCGAGTTTGGTTTATTTGCCATCAGAAAGAAACTAAACCATCTGGTGTTTTTAGCGTAGTTAAAAATAGCGTGCATTCTCTTGTAATTTACTGTAGATTTTAGTAGTATTTTCTTTTTCTTAGTTATTATTTTTTATTTTATTCTCGTGTTGCAAAATTAGTGGTTATTTACCTGTGATATGTTAAAAAAAGATGAGTTTAAAACACGAGAGATTAAAGTAAAAAAAAATATATATATATAGAAAACATAGGTGGTGCTTGTATAGATAGATAGCGTGAAAAGTTAAGTTTGGTCCTTGTATTTTCTAATTAAAACTTTTTATTCTATTTTGTTTTTGATAATCCACTTTTGATCCAACGCTTTATTTTTTTATTTTTCAGTTTTCAAGTTATAGAAAATAAGAGTTACTGTGTTGTGTTCTGATTAAAAAAAGAAAAAATCATCCATTACTATTAATTATAACCACAAAAATAGTCAATTTTAATATCAATAAACTCCATTCAATAAAAAAAATTTCAATAAAGGTGTTGTTTGGATTTAAATCTAACAGTTAAGGCACTGTTATATCTCTATAAGAAGGAAACACAAGTTTAATTCCCAAAAAATTTATTTATTGAGAAAGGCAACCACAAACCCTCAACAAAACTAATTTCACCATTTAAAAGGATATAAGGATATATGGATAAGAACTAGAAAAATATACAGTAAATATGACCTCAAAATATTTTTTATATTTAAAGTTTTTTTTTCAAAAAAAAATTAAACCTTCTTTCGCTAGTTTAAGCCCATGTATTGGTTTATTTAGGTGATTTTATGTCAAAAACTTTTTTTTGGGGTTGAATTCAAAGGTTTAACTTCTTTGATCATCTAAGGTAATTGTTTTTAAATCAGAAATGATGTAATTTTTACCAGTTTAAATGACATATTATTTAATTATTTAAAAATAAAATAATAAAAAATGGACAAATGCCACATTATCCAGTTGAATAAGAATAAAATATGTCAGGTGAGTGGAGGCTGCCTAGCATATACGACTTTGTTGGTTTAAGTCAGTTAATATATATTTTATATTCACAAAAAAAAATTATATCTTTTTAATATGAAATAATATATTTTTTTGTTTAGGTAATTAAACTTAAAAAAATAATATTTTTTTTAATATGAGATATTTTTTAAATAGTATTTTCAAGTTTATTATTTACAACATGTATATTTTATTTCTACATAAATTGCTTCTTAATTTTTCAACGTGAGAAATTAAAACTTATTTTTTTAAAAAAATTCTTCTAGGTTTATCAAGTCGACAAGTCGGGTTTGATAATTATGGTACTGAGTTGGTGTTTTGTTTGTTAATTATTTTTAATAGTTTTTTTCTTGATTTTATCTTTCAATATTAAATTGGTTGGGAAATAAATTGCATGATTTATTTTATTTTTTTATAAGGTTATCACTGTCTAAAACAAATAATTTTAGGATGGTGCTTAATTTTTTTTTCATATATTTTAATTATATAATTA